ACGCTACTGGATTATGTGCAGAGCATGCTGCCTCGCTGGCTGCAACTGGACGCCGACAGAACCTTCGCCTTAGAGAGAGCCCATCGAACCCTAGCATCGCCGAAACCAAACCAGAATAGAGCGGTTATCATTCGGTTTCTGAAGTTTCAAGACCGGGAGTTTGTTTTCCGCTCCGTTAAACAACGCGACATCACGCATGAGGGAAGCAAGCTTTTCTTCGTCCAGGACCTCTCAGCCGAGACCATGCGGCAGCGCTTCAGATTGAACGCCATAAAGAAGACGTTTATTGAGAAGGGAACTTTCCGTGGGTTTCAGCTTAACCCGTGCAAAATGAGAGTCCTCCATAACGGGAAGATACAGGTGCTGGTCATAAAATTAGAATATCATGAAAAAGTAGATTGATTTCAGTAATTCTATTTAAAAAGTGAAACTTGTATATTATATTCATACATTACATACAAACTCATATATTTCAGATGTTTATTTTGTTTAATTTTGATGATTACAAATGACAACAAATGAAAATCTCAAATTCATCATATCAGAAAATTAGAATATTACTGAAGACCAATAAAAACAAAGGATTTATAGAAATGTTGGCCAACTGAAAAGTATGAACATGAAAAGTATGAGCATGTACAGCACTCAGTATTTAGTTGGGCCTCCTTTGGCCTGTATTACTGCAGCAATGCGGCGTGGCATGGAGTCGATCAGTCTGTGGCACTGCTCAGGTGTTATGATAGCCCAGGTTGCTCTAATAGTGGCTTTTAGCTCTTCTGAATTGTTGGGTCTGGTGTATTGCATCTTCTTCTTCACAATACCCCATAGATTTTCTATGGGGTTAAGGTCAGGAGAGTTTGCTGGCCAATTAAGAACAGGGATACCATGGTCCTTCAACCAGGTACTGGTAGCTTTGGCACTGTGTGCAGGTGCCAAGTCCTGTTGGAAAATGAAATCTGCATCTCCAAAAAGTTGGTCAGCTGCAGGAAGCATGAAGTGCTCTAAAACTTCCTGGTATGTGGCTGCGTTGACCCTGGACCTCAGAAAACACAATGGACCAACACCAGCAGATGACATGGCACCCCAAACCATCACTGACTGTGGAAACTTTACACTGGACTTCAAGCAACGTGGATGAAGTGCCTCTCTTCTTTTCCTCCAGACTCTGGGACCTTGATTTCCAAAGGAAATGCAAAATTTACTTTCATCAGAGAACATGACTTTGGACCACTCACCAGCAGTCCAGTCCTGTTTCTCTTTAGCCCAGGCAAGACGCTTCTGACGCTGTCTGTGGTTCAAGAGTGGCTTGACACAAGGAATGCGACAGCAGAAACCCATGTCTTTCATACGTCTGTGTGTGGTGGTTCTTGAAGCACTCACTCCAGCTGCAGTCCACTCTTTGTGAATCTCCCCCACATTTTTGAATGGGTTTCGTTTCACAATCCTCTCCAGGGTGCGGTTATCTCTCTTGCTTGTACACTTTTTTCGACCACATCTTTTCCTTCCCTTCGCCTCTCTATTAATGTGCTTGGACACTGAGCTCTGTGAACAGCCAGCCTCTTTAGCGATGACCTTTTGTGTCTTGCCCTCCTTGTGCAAGGTGTCGATGGTCGTCTTTTGGACAACTGTCAAGTCAGCAGTCTTCCCCATGATTGTGTAGCCTATAGAACTAGACTGAAAGACCATTTAAAGGCTTTTGCAGGTGGTTTGAGTTAATTAGCTGATTAGAGTGTGGCACCAGGGGCCATCAATTTTGAACCTTTTCACAATATTCTAATTTTCTGATATGATGAATTTGAGATTTTCATTTGTTGTCATTTGTAATCATCAAAATTAAACAAAATAAACATCTGAAATATATGAGTTTGTATGTAATGTATGAATATAATATACAAGTTTCACTTTTTAAATGGAATTACTGAAATCAATCTACTTTTTCATGATATTCTAATTTTATGACCAGCACCTGTACACTTGTTTTCATCACCTGAGGAAGCGGAGGACTTCCACAGAAAACTCGCCCGAGGGACCGAATGAAGCAAATGGTGAGATGTGAGGTCTGTTTACTTCTTTCGTCATGGACACCGGTTAATGGTGCTTGTTTAAAAAATATGGTGTAACTCTACAATGAGACCCGATTTTTTTGGGGAGTTGTTTTGTTTAATTCAACTTCGTGATTAATATTACTTTACGGATTTTTATGGACCTGAATGAGGATTTATAACACTGGCATACATACTCAGTGTCTACTTTATTTATCCCCTGAAATTAAAATGATCACCCCAGCAAACTATGATCCACTAATTAGTGAAGTGAATGAGACACTGGATCGATTGTTGATGCTGCCCATATCACTGATTGGCCGTATAAATCTGATTAAAATTAATATATTACCAAAATTTTTTTACCTGTTTCAATTGCTCCCACTTCCACTTCCAGGTTAATTTTTTGACAAACTTAATAGTACTTTTAGGAAATTCATTTGGAACAACAAAAAACCTAGGTTGAGGCTCAGATTGCTGTACCTGCCATATGAGAGAGGGGGGCTACGGCTCCCAAATCTGAAATTATATTATTGGTCCGCCCAGTTACGATCGGCAATGTTTTATTTCTCATTGGAAGCTCTTCCAGGCTGGGTGAATATTGAGCAGGCATCAGTTCCGAACCTCCCATTAAGGCTGTATATGTACTCTGTAGACCCAAAAAAGCTAAAGAAGTTAACAGAGAACCCTTTCCTTAGAAATACTATTGACGTGTGGTATAAAGCACATCAACATATTGGAGACACTCCTTCCATCTCCCGTTTGTCCCCCATTTGGGGCAATACATATTTCAAAGCAGGAAGGGCAGATGGTGGATTCAAAATCTGGGCAGGTAATGGTGCACAGAAAATAGAGGACCTTTATATAGACGGTAAACTCCGTACATTTGATCAGATGTGCCAAACATACAACACTCCCAGAAAACATTTTTTTAAATATCTACAGCTGAAACATTTTATTTTATGGAAACAGAAGAATGTAATAGATGAACCACCACTGACACAACTTGAAGAAGTTACGCTTCGACATCTGGAGTGGAGGAAACTGATTTCTTTATTTTATACAGTTTTGATGTCCCATGATAAAGAGTCCACAGATGACAGGCTAGAGGCATGGAGACTAGATATTAAGATAGACATACAAAAGGCAGATTGGGAAAAGGCATGCTTTAAAGCCCAAAAACAATCCATCAACTCTAGGATGAAATTACTACAATACAAATGGCTCATGAGAACTTACATTACCCCGGTTAAGATCAATCAGTGGTCTCCTGATGTGCCAGACACATGTGTTAAGTGCTTGGAAGGAAAGGGTACTCTATATCACTGCGTATGGGACTGCCCAGATATAAAAAAATACTGGAAAGAAATTGTTCTGACTTTATCTGACATCATTAAAGTGAAGATACCTCACCTGGCAGAAATGTGTATACTCGGTATATATCCAAAAAACTTTGCTGTTATTCCTAACAAGTCAACTTTAATTGATTTTGGCCTCCTACAGGCGAGGAGGATGATTGCTCTGTCCTGGAGGAAAATGGGTGTGCCCTCGATAAATGAGTGGATAAAGGAGATGACATCTTGTGTGATGCTGGAAAGGCTGACTTATATCACCAGGGGAAGGGCTACAGAGTTTGAGACTGTGTGGAATCCCTTAATAGAGTTTCTTGAACGTCAAAGAGCTCAAATAACTTAAAACTGCTGCCTTGATATATGTTGTTGAGTGTTTATGTTTTGTTTTGTTTAGTTTTATTTAATTTTGTTAAGTGTGTGAAGTATGTGAAATGTTTTGTGGAAATTCTAATTGTTCACTTTTTGGATGCTATTGTTTTGATAACCGTCTTTTTGTACAAGTGAAATATATATATTAAACTCAATAAAGATATTGAAAAAAAAAAAAAAATGGGCGGGCTTGACACACATGAAGGTTTGCATGGCCATTTGTTTGTGTTTTGTTTGTCTTATCTGTTTGTCTTATATGTTGTTTGTAGTGTCTGTGGATCCACTCTACCTATTGTATGTTGTCCAGTTTAGTTATTTTTGTCTTGGGAAAATAGAAATGAGTGAATAATTAAGGTTAAACTTTAAAATAAGGACAGTTTCTATTTTCTGTGGCTCATTCTTCCCCCTCACCTGTTTTCAAATTAAAGCAGGAGTTAAATGTGTTACAGTTAATGCACAGCTGTTAAATTGGGAATAAATGGTATTGATATAAGGTTCAAATATCACAACAAATAAAGTTTAATGAGACAGATTTTTAAAAAATTAAATCAAATGAACAGATTTTGCTTGTTTAACAATAATTGGGCATTTCTGCAAATAATCAAGGACCTGTATCATTATTTAAATGCTAAAGTTTAATTTATTAACCTTAATTCTTTAAGATTTAGATTAAGCTTTAAGGGTAAATAAATCTATATGTGTGTAGCGCAAATAGCTTGTATAAAAATAAATTAGGCTGATTGAATTTGCTTTTAAATTATTTACAATTCTTTAAGAAGTAAATCTATCTTAAGCTGATCTGGAATAAATATGCAAATTTATTTAACATAAGTATTGATTAATAATTATACGGTGTTCAAATGACTCAATTGGAAATATTGATGATAATAACATTATTTAATAATAATAACGATAACATTAATAATAATGATTACAATGACAGAGGATATAAATAACAGGATTTAATTCCTGCATTAAGATGAATGATGGAGGCTTTAAAATGATCTATTCTCAATGAATCCATAGCTCAGATATATCTGGAGGTTAAAATGACTTAAACTTTATGGTTTTTCTTCAACAGAACATATTTTATTTGTTCTGAGGAAGAAAAGGGTGGAAAGAAGATAAAACAAGAGAATAACAGCAAAGCTAAACTCATAAGGATCCATATAGATGCTGTTTATTTTTCCATCTGGAACAGTCCATGTGGAATTTGGGTTGGTAATTGAGAGCAGAATAAATAAGCAACCTAAATAAAATACTAAATTATGACTAAACCAGTAAAGTAAATAAATATGGGAATAAAATGGCCTTATAAAGGAAAATTATCTATTAAGGTAATTCTTAGCAGCAGAGGACAGAAACGACTGCTAGACTGCTGGATGAAGTTTGAACACCTCAGCCTGACTGTCTGATGTGCGTTTGGGAAAACCAGCTTTGTTGATGTTTGTTGATGGTTCAGCTTCTTGCACTCCTGGTTCGGTGTTTCTTCACCTCATGAAACTCTTGTTTCTGGTTCTTTGATTTTGCTTCGCCTTGGAAACATCGTTCTTGAAAGCAGATGGAAAGCCTATATTCTTCTTCCACACACATCATGTCTGGTGGAAGCAACAGAAGGCTGTGCTGCAGCGTCTCCCCTTGTTTACAGCGCTGCAGGTCCTCCCTCCCTCCTCTGCTGAGGAGAAGTTTGTTTGGATTTCTGCAGGTGCAGAAGTGATAAGGGTATCGAATATAAGGAAGTACATTTACTGGGTAAGTTTGAAATTATGGAATAATTCAATGATTTGTGACAAAGTTCAAATTTTAATCTAAAGTTCTTTAAGCTACATGAACTTGTTTTATCTACTATTGTTTGTGAAAGGGTAAGATAACATCTGATCTGTCCTTCTCCCAGCTCCTTTAATTCAGCATGTTGGTAACTTTGACTCCCAGTTTTCCTCCACATGAGCTCATGACGGGTCGACCCTTTCCTGGACCACAGAACGAACCTGACCTCTGACCTCTGGCCAGACTAGGACTGACAGGTGAACCTACAAGACCTTTTTTTCCCCTTAGTCAGAGACGGCTTTACAGAGGGACCAAGGTGCCTGGAGACCCTGATGGGGGACCTTCTCAGCCATCCTTCCATCCTTCAGCACCAGGAGGTGTGGCTCAAAGTCATCAAAGAAAGTGATCAGAGCTCATCTGAGCTCATCTGGAAGGAACCAGGAAAAGCTTCAACAAAACAAATCAGAATAAAGGAGCAGAATAATCCCCTCTGATTGGTTAATTAACACATCAGTAGTCCACCTGATGTGTTGAGGACCAGCTGCTCTGTAGACAACGTTCAAAATGTCGCCTGTATAAGGGACCAACATCAACAGAAAGATGAAGACGCCCACCTGAAGATGTCTGACATCAGTTTTGGCTTTTTGATTTTTTAATCATACAACATGAATGAGAAGGAAAATGAGTTGTCATGTGTTGTATTTTAATCTAAGATTAACATTTTTAGTATCTAAGTGTTTGATATTACTTTTCTTGATAATAAAAAGAAAGTCCATGTGTTAGATGAGCACCTGATGGCTGATGGTCAGTATTGGCAGAGATTTCTGTATCAGAGAATGAACTCTGATGATCGGGTCATCTCAGCTACCATTGGGAAAGAGGAGCGCTGAGATTAATTCCTCCAACTTTTCAATGTGTGCTTTGACTGACCCTGATTCTGAAGAGCTGAACTCGTCATTTGCGTGAAACATCTTTGTGTTATGATTTTAACATTTTGCATAGAGATTGATCCTTTTTTTTTTTTACTTCTAATGAAACTCAGATTAATAATTTGACTTACAGTTTGTAGACATGAAGGGGTCTATTGTTTTGACTGATTTGAACTTTTCTCTTTCCAGGGAAACAAAAAGGGTAACTGATAATGATAAGAACTAAAATTTTACATTTTCAGCAAATAGATATTTTACCATAAAAGTATCATAATGGGAAAAAACAGTAAATATTTTTGCCAACTAAGGTGTGATTCCAGGGCTCTTTTTATTGGCAACATATTTTAGCTATTGTTGGAGTTACAATTATAAAATTAATGTGTGGGCATATGAAACATTCTGGTTCTGGTTCTATCCTGTGATTCAATCAGGAGGGTCATAAACTTTTATGACCTGCATCCAGTAGGTCATGAGGCAGAGTCACACTGTTGTGTGACTTCCATCCAGCCAGATGGTCATTTCACACTGTCCTATGTTACGTCCACCTGGCTTGTTAGGTGGGGTAACATTAATGGAGACCACACAAGGATTTTAGAGTTAATAAAAAAAAGGAAATGTATTAAATTATATTAAGTAAAAACTGAAAAAAGAATTGCCTGAAATAAGAAGCCAAAACAGATTAATACAAACCCATAACCAATTAGAAATAAACAAACGCAAAACAAACCTAACAAAACTCAGTCATAAAGTCCAAACCAAACCAACTGGAGTTCTGAAGAGGGAGAGGAGGAAAGAAGCCTCCTGACTGCTGCAGCATGACAGCTTTTAAAGCAGCAGAGCACCAATCAGGGAAAAAACATAACACCTGCAGAAGGCCTGCCTCCAGGACCCTGAAAGAAAAGGCAGAGACCCACTGCAGCCGTAACACCTATGACCTGCATCCTGCCAGATAATCATTACTGGGTTTTCTGTTTAACCTCTTACACCCTAAGGGGCTATAAATAAATTTCTGCCTGACAAAAACACACAAAAGTAAATAACTTATAGCCTCACAGCTATTAGATTTAAGAAGAAACTTTTGGTATGTCTGTAAAGGTAAGATGTCATAGAATGGTTTTCTGGTGTCAGCACCATTGTAGCTTTGACCCTGCCTGAAATATTAGGGACAAAATACAAAATATTTTCCATTTTTTGAACCGCGCCAAAATTTTCTTAGAAATAAACATTGCAAAACACTACCAAAATATTATTTATAGCACAAAAAAGTAGTACAGACTTTTAAATCTAAATGTTGTGTAAAAATATACCAAATTTGGACTCAATCAGATGAATCATATTTATTTTAGAATGGTATTAGTGAGAAATTTCTTAGGCGGCGAGACCATTTTGGCACATTTATCCATAAATGTCACCAAACTGTGCCAAATGTGTTTTTTACATCAATACTGGGGGTTTGTTAAAATTAAGAGGTCACGTAGCAGCTGGACCCACCGGTGGGTCCGTAGGGTTCTAGGGTTAAGGCCCGCCCTATTATGTTGTAAACTGTTAATAAAAGGCTTTGCTGTGAAGGGATCTGAGAGAAAGAGTGCTGGTTGTGAGCCAGCAGCTTCTCTCCCCTGTGCAGAGGTTGACGTTACAAATCCCTGTCTGTGTTTGATCATTTCGTCCTCTTAATCTTTTCAACTCACATTTCTCTGGATTTAAACCCAACAGCTACCATAATCTTTTCCATACTTTTTCCATCTATTATAATCATTTAACATTGTCCACCGACTTAATGTAGTTGTGGATTTTTCATTTATTATTTTTTAATTATCATTATTTTTCTTATTTTATTTATTTTAGTTTTGTAGTTTTTAGATATCTTTACATTTATTCACAATTTTTAATTTTTTTGTTAGCTTTCTTTACATATACTCACAATTTTAGTTTCTTAGTTTTTTATATTGATACATTTTTTATAATCGAAAGGGTGGACTGTTGTGTGAAAATTTTTTATCTTTCTATCCTTCTCAGTATTTGAAGTATGCTATGTATTCTCTAGAAATGTTTTTTTCTCAGCTAGTTTGTCTCACTTGCAAGGCCACAAAATGTCTGAGTGGAAGATGGTTATAGACAAAACATACCTTTTTTCCCATAACAAAACCACATACTTTTTCAAGGTAACTGTTTAACATTGTTTTGACACTGCCTTAAAAGCAAGGGAACAACTCTGTCTAAGGTTAGAACTTGGCAGACCATCATGCTGTGAATGTGAATGTCTTGTTCTCCTTTACTTTGCAAAGTAAATAAAGTGCCGACTGAGTGAAATCCATCGATCTCCGTTTATTTAACTAGGATGAATAGTTGAATACTTTTTTTCCACTGGATATTGCCATGGAGGAAAAGCAGCCATTCATTTTATTATAAACTGACACCAGAGTACTGGCTTCAAAATGGTTGTTTTCCCTTCGAAATTTTTAAGTTCTTCATCCTGACTGATCTGTAAATGAGATTATATTTTTGATAGACGGATTTGTGTGACCGCTGCTATAATGCAGATGCTGCACCAGTCTGCTGTGGTAAAGACCGAGCTGAGAGAAAAGGCAAACCTCTAGATTTACCGGTCGCTCTACGTTCCTACCCTCATCTGGTCATTAAATCTGGATCATGACCCAAAGAAAGAGATCCTGGATCCAATTGGCTGAAATGAGCTTCCTCTGCAGGGAGGCTGGGCTCTCCCTTAGAGAGAGGGTGAGGAGCTCAGTAGGCGCGCTGGAAGCTGTTTCAAGCGAGGGGGGCTGATGGCTGGTTTGGAAAACACATGACGCCATTATGTTGAGGGCTGTGGCTGACGTTTTTAACATAATATCGTAGGCCTACATTTGTCGCCAAGAACTGCCATTTAAAATGCATTGGAACAAAGCATGAACATTTTAAACTTTATTTCTTCTCTTTTAATCATTCAAAACAAACAACAGCTCGCAATCAACAGGATCAGGAATACTTGAATAAAACATGGCCTAAATATAGCCTAAACTGAGCATTGAACGTCTTGAAAGTCCATTCGACTATGGATATGGGGGAACGATTTCATATCTGAAACAAAAAACACACACAAAAAAAAAATTTAACTAATTTCCTATTTTATCACTAAATAGCTTAATACAGACATAATATTTAGTGATATGCAGCCTTATTCTAGCGTAGACTTCTTCAGCCACAGGACTAAGACGAATAGGCACATAAATAACGCTAAATGCGGCAGTTTAGGGGAATTAAAACCATTTCTTACCTCGAAATAGTCAGAAATACGTTTCTGCTGCCTATTGCTAGCCATGGCTAAACGAATGTGAGGTGGCGGAAGCTTCTGGGGGAGTAGCCTAGTTTTTTATGAAATATTAAAATAATGAATCATTAGTTTATATCTTATACACAGCCCATCATTTTAATCCCATATCAAACACAGTCTTTTAAAAAATAAATACATAAATAATTTCATGTTTTTAGGTATATTATGTTACTCCACAGCCCCCCACCATGGGGGGCTGATGCTATGACGAGGGAGGCTGCAGCCCCCGCAGCACCCCCCTTCCCGTGCCACTGGAGCTCAGTCATCCAGAGAGGCTCAGAGTAGAGTCGCTTCTCCTCCACATTTAGAGGAGTCAGCTGCGGAGGCTCAGACATCTTTTTATGATGGAGGCCTCCCTCAGGAGGTGTTCCAGGCATGTCCCACATGGAGGAGACCCAGGGGACGACCTAGGAGCCAATGGAGGGAATATGTCTCTCTGCTGGCCTGGGAGCTCCTCTGTCTTCTCCCAGCAGAGCTGGAGGAGGAGTCTGAGGAGAGGGAAGTCTGGGAGTCTCTGCTGACACTGCTGCCTCTGTGACCCGGATAAGTGGAAGACGACGAGTATTTCCTTTAAAATAATCAGTGTTTTAGTCAGCCAGAAAATTCAAAAGGTTCCCAGTCAAGCTAAGTGTTTTCTACATGCTTCTTCATCAGGAAACATTCATCCGTTTGAGTATTTTTTTTTTTTTGTTCAGAAAGCTCTTTAATATGATTTAAAACAATTTTGGTAAATAAGGACGAGGTGTGTTGCTGAATGTACTCAGAGAAATTGTTGAAGCCAAAAGATAAGAAGTTTGAAATTCATGATCACCGGTCTAGTTCCTGGAACTATCTCATTCTAAATGTATTAAAATCCTTTAACAAGAATAATATGTTTTAAAAACTGATTTCCTATTTAATCAAAACATAAAAACCTGCATCATTCATTTAGGGAAAGAATCGACAGAAATGTGATTGAATCTGCATAATAATTTGTCACTGACAGATATTTATTTGATGTTAAT